TTTTTTACACGGAACACTCATCAATTACAAGGAGTTTTTCTTCAGATCATAGTAACTACTGCAGACTACCATAGCATAAAAAAAAAAAAATCAAAACAGTTTCCCCCTTGGCAACAAAGCATTCATACAGACTAATGCAGCATATTAGGGAATAAACTGAGCAGGTAATAGGTCACTTATTGAATGTTATGGAAAATTTATTGATAGAGAACATAAATATACAGAAGAAATATTATTCCAAAATCCATCACTTGTGAAGTTTCAAATAATATTTAGGGGATGTTACTTTCTGAAAGAATGACGATTAGGGCTGTGGTTCAAAGGCATATAACCTGGCACAAACACCTGAAAATGATACACAAAAATGGCCCAATCTATTTAACACTATTTATTTGACATAGTGACTAGATGGTTCAGAGAAACCAATGGACAAAGAGGACTGAGAAAATAAAAAATTCTCCTTTAAGGTTTTCTTCCTCTGCATAAGCATCTTTAGCAAAAAGTAAGGTATCAATGTCATTGTAAGGTCATCTAATTTAGATTACAAACAGAGCAAACTACCCTAATCATGTTTATTCCAGATTAGTTTGGCAGAGCAGCACAAGGAAAGCCAACAAGCATGCTTGTTTTTTCTTGTTAAATTGCAAACAAAGTAGTCAAGGATAGCAGTCATTTTTGCAATACAGAATCAGCCTGCTGAAAATTTAATTAAGTTACACAAACCCAGGCCTATGAAATTATTTTTGTTCCAGTTACTGTTAGCATACTCAAACCTACTACATTTTTGTAGAGCCCTGTTTGCAAGTATGTCATCAGTAAATTACATAAAACTGCAGCATGATACAGTAAGATGGAAGACAAACAAAACTACTGCTAATAGTTACATTCAGGTTGTCTTGTACTGTGACTATATCTCACTTACTTTGTATAAATATGTAATTTTCCATCTTCTCCCTATTTCAGAATTATTAACTTGGCTTAGTGACAGACTGATGGGTTCTCTGGCATTTATACATGGAATGGTCAGCATGCAATTCTCCCACATCAGAGGATGAAGATATGAGATACAGTGAAAAGTTGGCAAAATAGGCTGCATTTTCTACTCTACTTTGCAATAATGGGGGAGGGGCCAGTGGCACAACATTGCTGCACCTATGGCTGTGATATTGCTGTCAAGCATACAGCAGGCCTCTTCCCAGAGGGCAGAATAAGGATGGGTGAAAAGGCAATCTACCTTCTCCATAGGCTGTGGAAGATACAGGATGATATCATTTAGCCTATCTTAAGATAACAAGCAGCTCAAGATACCTACAGAACCACCACTAGACAGAGAAGAATATGTATTCCAGATCAGTGTATCATTAAAAAAGTGGGCAGGCCCAAAAAAGAAAGGATTCTACAAGCTGGGTGATATTTAATGAGATTCATACAACCAACTGACTATGTATGCTGCAAATTAGCTCCATGATCTTCAATTGCTAACTTTCTTGACAAACATACCAAAAGCTATGCATTTCTAACTTCGTAATTAAAAAATCTGTTGATATCCACATTTTCTTTTCTCATTAAGATTGACTCAGTGTTTCCTTTAAGAACATAGCCCTAAGTAAATGGATTAATTTCAACAAATTTTAGGTGAATTGGATTTTATTTGTACTTGGGTTTATTATTGTAAAACATGCATTATTTACCACACCTGTCTTACAGAAAACTTTTCTAACTGAATAGTTGTTTTGAAGTACATCATTCTTTCCTCAGAGCAATTTTAGGAAGGAATGCCTTCAGAAACAACCATAATTTCAGAAAACACAATTTCACTGAGCACAAATTGTTGAAGATCATGACTGAACGGTATCTATCAATCACAAGATTTACTACACATTCCTATCTACTTTTTATTTGGAGAATGAACACATATTTCAGTGTTCTACGCTTGATTCTCCAACTGTTTGAAAAGTTATTCAGGAGCTACCATTGCTAGATTAAATAGCCACCTGTTTAATTTTACAGCTATAGGCAAATGCTGACAATCAAATACTGTATCCAAGAAGTTCCAAAGGGTAAGGATATACTATAACTGTCAGTAACCAGAAACACTGGTTATGCCAAAACCTGAAAGCAAAAAAAGGAGCAAAGATAAATTACTTAGCAAGTTACAAAATGGAAGGGGAAAAGGGGATATGCTTGGAGCTGACAGGATACGCAATTTAGCATTTTATAGAGGTCTGCACAAAAAAAACCCCAAACCAGAACAAAACCATATGAAGTTCCCAGCAAGAGATAAAGAGTAGAATGGCAGGTTTAATGAGCTCCTGGCATGAGACCAATATATTGCAACCATTTTCTATACAGATTCAGTGGCTCCTAAGTAAGGTCTTTGAAAGTCAGCAGTTTATGTTCAAAACCAGATCTCAAAACAGTGGAATAAAACAAAGGTATGTATCTAACTTAGTAGCCCCTTACTAGGAAAAAACATCTCAACACAGTTTAGATTATGTGTTAAAGCCTCTTTGGTTAAGATATGCAAACTATGCATCACATGCATATGTAACATAAAGTGGTGCTTACGACAACAGATATCTGCCAATGTTGCAACAAAATTAGGCTTATTTAGGAAAATATTTTAAAAGGCCAAAAAAGGCTTGATTACTAAAGTTCCTCAGAACTGATTATTGAAACACATTTTCCTGCGAAGCAGTTACTACAGATAAGTATCAGCCAAATCTTCTCCCTGGAGCTCCATCTACTGACATCGAAAAAAAAGCTGCCACATGTTACTCAGAAGTCAGATCTCTAGCCTCAACGTGAGGGGCCAAAGTTGGCAGTGAATGATATTCCCTGCATAGATTCTAAAAATGCTTCCTGCACTGTAGGAATAGCAAGAATAATATAACAGTACCTACCTTCCAGGGATTCAATTCCAGTTGCTTGGGCCAACAGATCTTCATGTCTTGCAACAACCTTGAAAAAAACGGAATATAGAAATCAACATAGAAAAATGGGGCCATGCACCTAAAATGAGGATTAAATATATTGTCATCGTTCCTACCTTAGGTATTTAAGTATCACCATCCCTACATTAGGCAGACACAGAAAAAAGCAGGTACATCTTAAAGATGAAGGGGTTTTCAGAACACAAGAGTTTTAATTCACAAAAGCAGCAAGCTCAGAACAAGAAGAGGATAAGTAACTGCAGCGTACCTGACAACTTAATTAAAGTCAACAGAGCAATCACATTTCAACACACCTTCATACATAATTGTAAACGTGAACTTACTAATCTCACAACAATAATGTATATTCACTTTTTTTTCTATTTATGACATTTAAAAACTAGTTCCCAAAGAACTGGCCAAGAGGGGCAGGGGTAGACAGGAAGCAGGTTATGAAACTGCACACAAACCCATTGCAAGGTCCACTGTGGATTCATAGTTTCCACATAGAAAATGTCTTCTACTATTGAAACTCAAAAGCCTTTCTAAAGGTGTAGAGGTGTGTTAACATAGGTTTTATATTCGCCTAGCTACAGGTAAGTCTAGCTACTTTCCAGCAGAGGATGAAAGGGTGTAAGTTCTCCCTATCTGCTCACAACGTCATTCCAAAACACCTGTTAGTTGACATGATCATTTAGAAAGACTCAAGGAACATTCTTGCAAGGAAGAGTAGCACACAGAGAGACTGCAGAGATATGTATCTCAGTATACAGACTACAGCAACTGAAACTGTATGCAGCTTCTTGACAGGAAGTGTGGGCTTAACTGAGTTTTCAGAATCACTAATAGTTTGGGAGCAAATTGTACTTTTAGTTACTACTTGCAGAGCACACTGGGCAATTTCAGAAATTACAAGATCATAAGATTACTGAGTCTTTGAATATTTTACATCCATCACCCCAGAATAACAGGTATGCTTTAAACTTACTTGTAAATGCAGCTCTTTATCCAACTGACTGATACCTTGGGCAAGTTTTGCCAGTTGCTCAGCTATCACAGCCTGATGGATAGACTGGGAAGTGTAAGCTTTCACATCAAAGTCTTCTCTGAAGAAGTCAGCATAACATTCTGAAAGAAGATTTAGACTTTATATTCATGCATCAGAACAGTTAAATAATATTTATGGACCTAGAACGTACAGCTATCTGACCTTCAATTCCTCCAACTTCACAGTGTATGTTATCTTCATCACATAATATAAACGTGAGAAGGCACCACAACCAAGAGAAACAGGTTTGGAGCCAATAAATGAGGTTGGGGGTTGGGTTTGCTGTTTTGGGATTTTTTTGTAAATGGTGGTAAAGACTCCTGTTCCTTTATTGCCGACAACCTTGAGTGGAAAACACTAAAAAGTGTCAATATCTTCTTTTTGAAACTTTACAGCATTAATCAGGGTGAGGCTGTTGAGCTTGTACCCATAACCAAACACACGCCAGTCACCTCCAAGCAACTGACACGTGGCACAAGGCACAACTTCATGAAATCATACCGGACTCTCACAGCAGTGTGAGTTTATAAAACCATTAAGAAATGATACTGCAATGATGACTGTGGATCAAGCAAGACTCGGATTCCCAGACACCGACTATTAATTCCACCGAGCACCCTCGCCTCTCCTTCCAGTGCACTCCTTCCCTTTGGGAGGCAGAGGAAGTTCACCCGGACCCTCGGCCACCGCTACTCCCCCGCCACCGAAACTTTCCGTGCCTCCAGAGCGCGGGGGTTCCCTGCCCGCCCCTCCCCGGGCTCCGCCCGCCCGGCCCGACACCGCCCTCGCCGAGGACCCTCCGTCTTCCCCGGGCCGCCGCGGGGGGGGGGCCCCCCCGGGCGGTGCGGCCGTCGGGGGCTGTGCCCGGCACTGCCCCTTCCCAGCCCGCGCCTCACCGTCCGCCCGCAGCTCGGCGAGGGCCGGGGCCGGGGCCGCCCCCGCCTCCTCCATGCTGGCGGTGCCGGAGCCCGCGCGTCACTCCCGGAACGCGGCGCGCGGCGATGATGGCGAAGGCGCGCGACGGAGCGGGCGGGCGGTGGCGGCGGCACGTGGTGATCCCGGCGGGAGCGGCGCGGGAGCCGGGACGCGGCGGGGCCTCGGCTGCGGAGGGAGTTCCTTTTCCTGACGCTGTGCAAGTGAGCGACGTCCTGCGGGACGCTTCAGCGGAACGCTTTTTTTTTTTTTGATGTTTGCAGCACGGCCTGTGAGAAGCAACTGAATTACTTACGTTTCAAACGCTGTTTGTTTTTCCAGATGCCGAAAGGACTGTTAATTATACATGATTGGTGACATCACAGAAGCTAAAGAATGCCAACGAAAAGATCCCATGGATTTGTTTCGTTCTGGGCAAGTTGTGAAGATATGTGCCCCCATGGTCCGCTATTCAAAGTGAGTAGCTGTCATGTCAGCTGTTTGCAGTGTATTTTCTCTGAGGAAGTTTATCTTGACTGTAAAAACAAGTGTGATTATCTTTTTTTTCTTTAATTATTTAAGACAGAGGTAGACATGGGACATGTTTTATCTTACGATTACGATTGAACACCCCCACGGTACTGCATGTCAACAACATTTTAGAATAGCTCATCAGAAAAATGCCTTTACAATTTACCTCATAATTTTCTTATGTCTGCAGGTTGGCTTTCAGAACCTTGGTAAGGAAATACAGCTGCGATTTGTGTTACACACCAATGATAGTGGCAGCAGATTTTGTGAGATCTGCAAAAGCAAGAGACAGCGAATTCACTACAAACAAAGGTATGTCTTTAATAAACCATTGCCTTGTCAGACTGTTTTAAGTGGTGAAAAGCCAAATCGGCCAAGTGTATGAAGTCCGTCACAACTTGACATCGTTAAACAGTTTTGGTATACTGTGTCTTATTGATTGTAAAAATTCTAGGTGAGAGTAAGCACAATCCAGTGATAGTGGGTCAAATGAAATAGTGGAAAACCTTGGCTCCACCTGAAATCAAGGCCTCCAAACTGACATAGATCCATGATGGGTTGACCACACATAGCTGGCCAGCAGCCATGCACCCACACAGCTGCTCACTCATTCCTCCTCCATCCTCCCAGCAGCACAGAGGGAGATTAGGAAGAGCAAACACAGGAAAAAATCATGAGTCAAGATAAAGGCAGCTTCATATGTGAAGGAAAGGGAAAAAAAACAAGTGATGCAAAGGCAATCACTTCCTACTGGCAGACCAATGCCCAGTCAGTTTTGAAGCAACAGCCACCTTGGAACACAAATTCCACATCCCAACCCACTTTCTTCTTTCCGTACCACTCCAGTTTTGTTGCTGAGCTTGATGTTATACAGCATGGAATATTCCTTGTGCCAGTTTAGGTCAGCTGTCATAGCTGTGTCCACTACAAACTTCTTGCCCATACCAGTCTATTTGCTGGGGGCAGGGGAAAGCAGAGTGAGAAAAAGAGAAAGCTTTGGCACTGTGCAAGTACTTTGCAGCAATCGCCAAAACAGTTTGTGAATTATCAACACCGGTTTTGTCACTAAATCCAAACTGCAGCACCACACAGGCTGCTATAAACAAACTTTAAATAAATTCGAAGATTAACTCCATCCCAGCCAGACCAAGTACAAGATGGCAGCAAGGTTCTTTTCCCAGCAATTGTTTCAGGTGTGTTTCAGTTACAAACATTTAACTTGTTGTTTGTGAAAAATTTTCTGGTCTATAGCAAAATCAAGAGTGATGCTAAAGGTGAAAAAATTAATAGACCAGGCATTGATACGGTGGAATCAAGGATTTATAAAAGAAGCAGGATTTCATATTAGCTGGAGTGGAAAGTGGAAGGGGTTGTTGATGGACAACTTGAGATGTTGAGAGCAAGAAGGCACAAAGACTGGGAAGTTGAAGCATGGCTGGGGTCAATGGGGAGAAGCAAAGCTTCAGGCATGGTAATGAAACATAAACAGAACACATACAAAACCAAGCAGTATAAGGAGTTGTAGAGTGTTGTGGCTGTAAAGCATAAGTGGTATGAAATACATGGGAAGAGGTGGCAAGAACGATACAGATCTGCTGATGTGAAGTGACTGCAGTAGAACAGTATAACAAGGAATGAACAAGTATAAGCTGCAACGAAGAATGAAGAGTGCTGCTAATGTGCTAATGGGCTAGTAAGATCAGCATGTAGGATCTATGAAGCGTGATGATTTAATCTATTCAGACCACAGAATTTGTGGTTTCATAAGTATATGCGATAGGGGAAGTACATTTCACTATTTGAAATGCACTGACTACTATGGTGCATTATTCAAATAGAACAGAGCAGTTACAGAGAAAAGTCACATGGGGAAACAGAGGTAGACACACTCTTATTAGTAGAAATCAACTTCAAAAAAGTGTGAATAATTCATTGTGTGTAAAAATAAATGAGTAAGAACATAACTGACAGTATATATGGCTCAAAGGTCCACAGTTACTAATTGGTCCCCTTCAAATTTAGTTACACTTCTGATCTACTTGAAGTCTGGTGGCACTGAAGTTCCACAGGTCCGAAATGTATATTATGAGGGGTGCAGGGACAGGGAAAGGAAGTTCTCCTTTACAGCTACGTGCTCTAGCTTTGCTACCTGATAACAAGGGATACAGAATTAAATGTTTAAGGATTATAAACAACATTTTTTCCCTTCTCCCTTCTTTCATGCTGGCCTTAATTTTATAAGCCTCTGAAACACTCTGCCTCATACTTTGCCCAGATTATAGTATTTACATTATTAGCATTTATACATTTTCTGTGGTTCTGTGTTTAACTTGCTGGCTGTTTGGGGATTTTGTCTTCTAATTAGCGGAGTATGTTTGAAATTTCTGTTTTCCATTTTCTTCTGTGTTAATGTTTCTCTGTTATGTATTTCTCAGATAGAGATACATGGTCTTTGTGGCTGCTGCTAAAAAATTTTGTATGGCTAGACTCAATATTTTTATCACTTAATGCTCAACAAAAAAAATCTAGGAGTGTAGGATTATTCTAAAATATTAGCTATAACAATGTACATCTTCAGCTACATCACTGTAGCTGTTTTGAAAATACATATGGGGGTTTTTTTGCTTGCTGGATTTTTAGGTTATTCCTAGAAGTGTCTCAGCTTGATTGAGAGAGTACTGCTGGCCTCTCTGACTTAAGCTCCACTACTTGAAGAACTATTTACTTTCCTCTAAAACAAAAAAAATCTTCAGAAGCACTTGTGGTCTCTTCAGTGCTGGAAGTGCACTTGCTTTGTGTATTTGTTGGATCATCTCTTTCCATCAGTGCTCAGATATCCCCCTTCTTAACTGCAGCAATTGTTTATATGGAAAGCGAGTGCTAAGACTGCTTGAGATATTTTTAGATGCCTTTAATGTAATGCAGTAGCTGTAAAAGAGGAAAGCATGTTCCAAATGACCATCTGGCTCTCTGCAGGGGCTTAGTAAATCACAAGTAGTTCAGCAGACCCAAGCTAAGGAGCACTGACACTTTGGTTTCTCACTTGAGATAAAGCTGCTGAAGCTGCCTCTGTGCATGTGCGCTCATTCCAACTCTGCTTATCACACTGTGGATAAAAACCAGCCATGCTGGCACAGAAGAGGAAAAAGATGGGATGAGATGAGGAAGGGCAAAGCTTGTGGGTGGTTTAGCTCCTTTCTGAAGGGTTTTAGTTCTGTAAGCAAGTTTCCCACCTGGCAAGACAGACAGCCATGTCAGCACAGCAAACGAGCAGCATGCAGACAAGAAGGGGCAGGCTAGGAGGGGAAGCATGAAGGCTGCTGAAATGTAGAGAATACTTAGTTTCATAGGTGGTCTTTGTGGAATATAATCAACTGACTGGTTTCAGTCAGAAAAAGTGTATGTAGAGCCAGCAGCTTTGTAGGGCACATATATTTGTCTGAATTTCTACCTCTCTTAATAGACATACTCATTTAGTATCCCCTAGTAAGCTGCCTTTATTTATTTGTGATCTGGGGCTTGCAGAACCACAAAACAGTCAAGTTTGGAAGGACCTCTGTGGGTCATGTTATCCAGCCCCCCAGGTCACACAGGGTCACCTAGAGCTGGTTGCCCAGGACCATGGTCAGACAGCTGTTCAATACACAAACAAACATTCAAAATTTAGAATTTGTTCTTTTTATTTTCTGAAAATTTTTAAATCTAAATATCTTTTCATTGGAGTAGGTGATCATCCATTGATTGTTCAGTTTGCTGCTAAAGAAGCACAGGTTTTGTGTGATGCTGCACGTATCGTCTGTCCTTTTGCAGATGGAATAGACCTAAACTGTGGTTGTCCTCAGAGGTAAAGTTTTGAAAAACATGGGTAAATATGATGAAATAATTTGAGACTAAAGAATGCTGGTCCTCATTTTCGTTGTAATTTCTGTCTTAACCTAAAAATAGACTTCAAGAGAGAAACAGCTTTTTAACCTGTCAGAGATGTCTATGTGGCAAGACACTGTTCTGAGTGTTCTGAAATACCTGTCACCATGGTGAGACTGGGAAAAGCATGTCAATTTACCAACTTGCCTTTTTTTCATTTCTGAGATACTCAGTGTTGGCTCAGAAGTGAAGTGTCCATCCCTTCTCAACAGCTGTTAAATATGCATTACCAAAAAGAGCTTGCTGCAAATAATTTGGAGAGTGTTTTGAGAAATGATGTGGCAATTCCCAAAACAGTGAGGCAGGTCCCCGATGTCTCAAACTTCTGCAAGTGAACGATAGTCTGTAATATAAAATTATACAGGTTATGTTATTCAAGAAGTGCAGAAAACAATTTCTTCTATCTTGTATGAGATTTATAAGTATAGCGAATTAGTGATCTGCTTCTCACTTGAATTGATAAAGATCTTGTCTTAACAGTGAAACAGAGTAGTAATGAACAAATGAAGATCCTTGCTAACTGGTTCAATAAAGAATCATCTATTACATGTTTGTCAGGCAGTGTTTTTCTAAATGAAGACCTGAAAAATAAGATAGGAAATTAAAAGATAATAATATGGTACAAATACTTAATTTCTCTATTCTAATTAGGTTGTCTTGACATAAAATTACAGTATTTGAGAAAAATCTTTTCTGGAGAGATCTGAGACTTCGGAATGGAAGTGTATTTTTTTTCCTAAGCTTACTACCATTAAGTATGCCAAACTATAACTACCTTTTAGGCCAAAAATATATGCTTACATTTGAGTTCTTTGTTTCTTCTGCATATTGGTTTGAAAATAACAAAAGTTTGTGTACTTCATGTGCCTTTATAAAAAAAATTATTTAAGAAAAAAAGTGCTGCTCTTAACTGGAAACAAAGGTTATTTCCTGCCAATCAAAATAGTGTTTTGTAGTTGAGAGAGAACAGAAATAATATCCTCGCTTGCACTACAAAAATCTTCCTTTTCAATCCAAAGTAATTTTCTGTTTAGAAGAAATCCATGACCCAATGGAAGGGGAAACATCAAACTATTTATTTTATGTATGATCTAAAGTTGATTAAATTTTAATTTATCTTCCTTGTGAGTCCATTTTGCAGACAGAAAATTGAACTGAAAGAGATCAGTAACTTGTCCAAAGTTCTAACAGCACGATGCAGACTGAACCAGGCTCTAAATAATGGTATGAAACTGCAAACAAATAATCAGTGTACAGCTAGTACTATCTCTTGTTATTCAACCACATGGGTTTCTGAAGGTCATAAGGAAAGAAATTTGATGTATTTCACTGAAATTGATCTGCATTTTTTCAAATTAGAATACAAATGTTCTTTTTCTTTTAAAGATGGGCCATGGCAGAAGGTTATGGTGCTTGCTTAATAAATAAACCAGAACTTGTTAAAGATATGGTGAGACATGTACGAAATCAGATCGACAACCCTAAATTTTCAGTGTCTATTAAAATAAGGTAGGTCTAACTTCAGTGGTATGTGGAAGAATCCTTTTTATTTTTTTAAAGAAACAATTTAGTGTAATAGTTATAATATTCTGTTAATGTAGTATTACACTTTATAGTAATTTCCTTACATGTGACTATCTGGGGCAAGTAGTCCCAAACTTAGATAGCAGAACTAGCACAGCCTTTGACTCCTTACCCAGATAAAATACTGTAGGCTAAAGTTTTCTTGCAATCCAAACTACATAAAAGTACAAGATAAAAGATAAAGGGTTCCATAAAAGAAACGCAATGCATAGTCTGTATCATTACAAGAACTTACTTTTTGAGCTGTTCTCCACAGTTCATCAGTTTCTAAACTTCTGTAGACTTGTTTTGCATTGCTTTGTGTGCAGTCCAGAGAAGAGAAGGCTCCACGGAGACCTTAGAGCACCTTCCAGTACCTAAAGGGGGCTGCAAGAGAGCGGGAGAAGAACTTTGTACAAGAACACGTAGCAATAGGACAAGGGGAAATGGCATCAAACTGAAAGAGGGCAGATCTAGATTAGATATTAGGAAGAAATTCTTTACTGTGAGGAAGGTGAGGTACTGGAACAGGCTGCCCAGAGAAGCTGTGGATGCCTCATCCCTCAAAGTTTTCATGGCCAAGTTGGACAGGGCTCTGAGCAACATGGTGTAGTGGAAGGTGACCCTGCCCATGGCAGGGGCTTGGAACTAGATGGTCTTTAAGGTCACTTCCAACCCAAACCATTCTATGATTCTATGACCATTCCATGATTCACTATTTCACCACATATCCTGTGTGGCTTTTGCATATTTGTCAGTTAAGTTTCAACTCAGTTTCCAGTTCTTTGTGAAAGGGGAACTATTATAAGTTGGATTTTTTTTTCACAGAATATGCAAAATTGTGGTGTTTGTTTTGGAATTTTTGGGTACCCTTGCTCAATGTCTATAAAATTTACCATGTATATTACAGAGATGTGATGTAATTGGGAAATGCTAAATTAAATAGCAGTTTCCATACATTAAACTCATATGTCTTAAAAAACCCCCAAACACTGTCTTTCAACATAATATTGTCTTTATACTCTTATTTATACAAATCCGTGGTAACTTCTTATGGAGGACGGCTTTTCCTATAGTCCAGGTAACTTACTACTTTCCTTGGAATTTTAGGATCCATGAGGACTTAAAAAGAACAGTTGACCTGTGTCAAAAAGCTGAAGCAGCTGGAGTTTCATGGATTACAGTACATGGGAGAAGTATAGAAGAAAGGCATCAGCCTGTACATTATGATGCAATTAAAACAATTAAACAAAGCATGTCTATACCTATTGTGGCTAATGGAGACATTAAAACTTTAAAAGATGCTGAAAGTGTTCATCAGTTGACAGAAGCAGATGGTAAGATTGAACATACTCTATTTTCAAAGTAAACTTACTAATCAGATTTCAAAGTATTTATTTTCGCTGTAAGTAGGACATGATTTGAGTGATTTTCACTCTTTGAGGAGACAAACGAAAGAGCATGTTTTAGATGCCTTATAAACTCATACACAGAATCACTTGTAATCATCAGAGCACTAGAGCACTGCTGTTCAAAGCCACAAAATAATGATTTCTGTGGCAAATTACAAAAGCTCTTTGCTTAATTATGCTATCTCATCACTCAGTAGTGGAGTTCAGGGGGACTTTCAGACACTTATTCCATCTCGTTATGGAACTGATCATCTTTTAAAGGACTGTAAACTTCCACTTGGAAATCTCTACTTCCTGAACATGGGAGCAGATTTCTTGCAGTAATAATACAGTGGAAAAAGAAATACTGTTAAGCCAGATACTTAACAGTTGAGATGGTTAGCTTCAAGGACACAGTGAGGCATTGCACTCTCATTTCAGTCGTAAAATTTGTGTTCTGCAGTTATTTAGTCACAATAGATTCCTGCAACTGTCTGTGGTTTCAAGACAATATGGAATTTTGGTATATGTTTTGAAGAGGTGATCTGTATCCACATTAGAGAGCAACAGGATAGAGAACAGTGGTAGAAGGAAAAGTTCGTGTGGAAGGTTTCTGCTGGCACTGTTGTGGTTTATTAGCTACAACAAAAATTGGTTGAACCAAACTGCCGTTCTGCTTTCCCCCAAAAACAAAGCAGGAAGGAAATGCATCATGCTCAACAATGTTCTCCTAGTCCATCTGACCTTCTTCAGTAGCAAAAATATAAAGCATTAAGTTTTTTTCTGTCAGGTACAATCGCAACAGAAATTTTTCATTTTTTATCATTTTATTTTTAAAGAAAATACTAAGTGATTATATATCAACAGTGCAGGAAAACTGTCTCTTAATCACAGAAAAATTAGGGTAGACATTATCTGACAATATGGGATTACAGTTGTCTTGTTCAGAAAGATTTACTGCAGATCAAGAGTCCTGATATTTACTGAATTGAGCCATTGAGCTCTTACTGGAAGAAGGATTGTAGGTCAGTGAATAGACTTGAATTGCACAAGAAAATCCTAAATTTAGCATATTCGTGTCTATCGTAATTTTATGTTATAAGGGCAGGCTTGTATAGCAAGTAAAAACATACTATTTAAGTGCAGTTTCAAAAGTAGGGAAGAAAGGACTCTGTGTCCTGTGTTTTGTTTCAAAATTTCTGGAATGTGGAATGTGTTGATAGGTGTTGCAGACTCTCTGAGGCCTGCCTTTTTAAATGGATTTCTCTCATACAGCTGTAATACTAATCCCCATTGTTCTCCAATTCCTTGTTTGTAAGCTTTGGGTGGTTGTCCTCAGGGATGCTATACAAAATCTACAGGAAGATTTAACATAAAATTTCAAGTAGAATGTAACTTACTGCTTTAATTTCCAATTTGAAGGTATAATGGTGGCTAGAGGACTCTTGGCAAATCCAGCTATGTTTGCAGGATACGAAGAGACACCTTTTAAGTGCATCCAGGACTGGGTTGACATTGCTCTTGAGCACGGAACTCCTTTTACATGTTTCCACCACCACTTAATGTACATGATGGAACGGATAACTTCAAAACAAGAAAAAAAAGTTTTTAATGTTTTATCCAGTACCTCAGCAGTACTAGATTACCTGAATGACCATTATGGTGTGTGATAAATGGAATTATTTTAATTCTGTGTAAACTTGTATTTTGCAATTGTCGATACATTGTTAAAATTTTAATTGGGTTCCTACTTCTTAGTCACATTTATCTACTGTATAAGTATTTTCAACACAGCATAACATCATTAGAATGGTAATTTATTTTTTTAGTATTTTTATGTGTACATTTTTCTCTCTAGAAAATATTCCAGATTCCACAAATGTGGAATTCAGTTTACAATGCACTACTACATAGAGGGTATATTATTGTAAGGCTCCAGTAATTTAAATTTTCACCAGACAATTGCTTACAGCAATGTTATTGCAAAACTAGGGCCTTTCTTACATGAAACCTCCTAAAATCCTCCTAAATAATGCCAGTAATTTCAGACCAAAAGAATACAAAGGGAGCAATTATAGAAGTTTTTGCTTTAACTGACATAAGCCAAATTTAAATTTGAGTAGATTTTCAAACTTTAAGACTGTGAGGCTTTGAAACCCAGCATACTATCCTCTTTTAAATTAGATGTTCCTTTTGCAGATTGAAACTTTCTAAACTTATTTACAACTTAGAAAAATTCCGTACTTCGTATAGCAGAAGAAGTATGAAGAGGCAGTTTAAACTAAGTACAAACTTAGCTTGAAACTAAAACACAAGACTTGAGAGTTCAATCAAACTAAATTCAGTTTTGTTAATCTACTGTATAATAATTGTATACAAGATCCCTATCATCTACCACACCAGAACTTTTTAGGTCAAAGAAAAGCTGACAGATTCTCTCAGTAGGGCTCTTGCAGTCCTTTCTGCCCACTGGCATGTTGCTTATCAAAGCATGACAGCCACTTGGCTTTGAATCACTGTATAGGAGTGAAATAGTGAAAATTAGAATAGGATGATAAACATTACACACCAGCTGCATTTGTTCTGCAAGGGAAATTTCACAAAACTGTGCAGTACAATTACTTGTAATCAAATAATTTGTTTTCTTTATATGTTTACACAGAAATTCATACCAAAAATTGCCTAGTTTTTTGACTGTGATTGTTCTATGAATATACTTGTGAATAGTTCCAAATTTTCTAAATAAATTACTTGGGTTTTATACAATTGTGATTATTTTTTTTATTTATTATGCAACAATCTTGAGGAGGGAAGGCTGCTTTTGATGCTACTCAATAGTTTAAATATCTTAAATTCTCTCAATTTTTTAATGCAATGTCATAAAATACTTGGTCATTTTTCATTATGAATATGTCTGATTTAGACATATGAATAAAAGTTTGAAAGGCGTGACCTGAGTCATCAAGTCTAGTTCACTATTTAAGATAGCAAAGTTACATAACTCTTCTGATACGATCACCTTCCTGATGTGTTAATAAATGGAAAACTACAGACGTGCTTTGCTATCCTCGGCTAATTGAGACAGTCTCTGCAACTTTTTTTGTTATGATAGTGTCTCCATTCCTTCAGACAACTATTTTTTCACTCATCTCGATTCTGATGTTTTCTTGACATTAGATGAGCACAAATTTGTATAACATTCCAGGTAAACTCACAGCAATATCTTCTGCAGATAATACTTCTTCTAATGCCTCACTTTTCCTCAACTAATATTCATCATGTAAATTATGAGCTTCCAGTTTTACAGAAAAAGTTCTTACTTCCCAACTGCATGACTTTGTATTTTGTGCTGTCGAATTTCCAGTCTCAAGTTCATCCAATTATTGTGCAGCTCAGTTCTCCTCAGTTCTGAAAATGTCTCCAGCCTTCTGCCACAAATTAAAAAGTAAAACTATACAGCTGAATTGTAGAAGAGGACTTGTGAAAGTATTAACTAAGCCCTTTGTTAGCATTTTCTTAAGATTTTTATGATGTTGGGTACCAACTGTTACATGCTGCAAACTGTCCCATTAGCCACAAGGAGCAGAGAAAAAAAATTATTATAATCAACACAATTTTTTTTTCCCTCTAGTAGTGGGAAAATTGAATTTTAGAGGACTTCAAATACCTTGACCTATTTAGGAACTGAATACTTGATGATTTTGAAGGCAGCAGTTGTTGTGCCTGTGTGAGATCAATCACAGGGATTCCTGCCTGAAGTACAAGACTTAGGTTGCTGTTAATATTGGTTATAATTAAGGAGTGCTTGATCTGGCCTTTTATCCACCATAAAAGTCAGCGGATGTTTATCATCCCTTTTTGAGGGTGAAATGAATTGTATGTCTTCCCTTTTGAATTTTGCATGTATCTGAACACAATTCGCTGTGTTGCTGTAGAATAAACTGCAAAATTGAAGTCTTAAGCCATGCTCTGAACAAAATACTGTTCTAATATACATAAATTGCTAAAGATGGGAGTTATTTAATACCCAGTGTTGTTTTAGAATATGGTCATATTTCTCATTGTAAACCATATGAACATGGAAAAAGTCTTAATTTCCAGTTTAAAGCCACTAGATGTAGTCGTTCCTTGTATGTATTACTTGTAACATCACTAGGTGCTCAGTCTTCCTGTTTTCTAATATTCAAATTTTTAAAAGTTGTTCCGCAAGTAATCTAAGATACAAAGCATTGTTTCCTAATTTAGGACCTTTGCCTCCTGTAGCTGATCTCACTCTTTATGTTAAGCCACCCTGCACAACAACGCCATATGCTCATAACAGCTGTACTTTCTTGCAGCTTTACCCTGCTGCAATTACCCCAGGTCCCTCACACAGACTATACAATCCCATTTTCTCTATTCCCTATTGTTACATTTCTTAGGTCACTTCTCTGTCTTGGGTTGATGGTTGGGCAAACGCAGCATGTGATGATGAGACAGCTATCATAGGAGCCAAAGTAGAATAGAACAAGTTTAAACTTTGCCATTGTTTCAGCAGTGAATTAGTCTGATTTCAGTCCTCTAACCATCTGCTAGTACACAGGCATTTCCTATTTCTGCTTCTGAATACTTTGTCACCTTATTGGTGGGAGAAGAAGGTATTCCTTGTGTAGGAGCACCTAGACAGACAACACCAGCCACCTGGATGATGAAAGAAGAAGAAAATACTAAAGCAAAGGTATCGTGGTCCTGAGCTAGCCAAAGCTAAGATTAGTGAGTGTGAAAAGAATCATGAGGTCAAGCTGGAAAGCTGCTTGAGGCATTATTGTCCTTCATGACTGAAAGCAGTCACGTGGGCGTGTGTGGTATGTGTGGGGATAAGAAACATCTGGCCTGGCTTGATAGCTCAGACCCCTGTTCTGTACATATATGGAGTAATAAAATTATGAGTTAGTTCTGCCTGGACAACGTGTCCGCATAGTTGTAACTGTAATGTTTTAAGGTTTGTGAGTTTTTTCCCTAAAGCAGCCAGCCCTTGCATATATTGTATGGTATCATATTCATCACACATTGGTTCACTATAAGATAGGCAGCCTTAGATTAACAACCCAGACTTCTACAGTTTCAGTTAGAATTCCTTCCAGGAGTGGCAGAGTGCATTCAACAGGAGAAGGGAAGTCTCACAGATGTTTGCAGGGGGCTTCTCTCTGTTCCTCTGATCTCACTCCAGTTTGGTGGGGAACACACATCAGCTGCAGTGGAAGTGCACAGCAGTCACTGCAGTGTGAGTTTTTCTGGGATCTTATGAAGCCACTGAAGTAAAAAAGCAGACTCCAAGTCTCTGGCAGTGGGGATGAGCAAATATAGTCCTGTGAGTATGAGGCTGGGCTACTGGGAGGGACAGTTTACAGTGCTAGTAAGAGCTGAGTAAGCAGCTCAGAAATCGAAACTGCACTGGAATTAAAGGAGGGAAAGTGTATTAACGCTTTAGCAGCTTCAGTGAAGTACAGTGGCTGTAGGCAAATAGCTAAAATGTAATAACCAGGACAAGAGGTTATGTTTTCTCTATGCTGCTGATCAAATATGTTTATGAAAATATGTTAGAAATATTACTTAAAACCCAGGCCGTTGCCACTGCATAGATTGGATTGAAATGGCTGGTTATATCACTCTCCAATATTTGTTATGCATAAACAATTATTTGGGATGTAACCTTTCATCCAGACATTGCTTGGCAGCTGCTAGGAAAATGTTAACACACTGGCTCCATCCCCAGGCTGCAGACTTGGGAAATTTCAAGTAAACAATTTCAGATTGTGAGCAGCTGCAAACAGCTCTGCTCAAAACTGCTTATGCAAGAACTTCCTACACCATGTCAGTTCCACTGGATTAGAGTAACAAAGAACTACTATTCACTGCATTTAATGTCTCATTCTGATGGAAATTAATTGGAAGAGAATTCTCTGAAACAGGTAGTTGTGTTGGTGGCTGGTGATGCCCAGGTAGACAGGGTTACCTCTTCCTCTGGCAGCACCTCAGCATCTATTAGGATCAACAGGAAAAAGGAATCAGGGGATCACAAGGTGATCAGGGGGGCGCCCTTATGCAGGGGCAAAGGAGAGTTGGATGGGTGCAAAAGAGATGGTCAAGAAGTGGGAAAATGAGTACCAAAGCACGGAAATAATACCTTGGGAGCCTTGGTGTGCTGATAAAAAACACTGCACAGGACAGTATGATAGAACAGGGTTTTCTAAAGGAATATTGTTTTATTCATGAGGTCCAAACAGGCCTGTTTGACAGTGTTTGAGACTGTTGCTTTGTTGTTATTGGTGGTGTCCTTATGAATAGTGGGCCTATTTTCCTCGAGAAAAAGATTTGCTGGGTCTTAATACATTAGTGTTAGGCTTGGAGAGGGGATGGACAGACACGCAGCATTTTAACTGAACTTCAGAAACTGAGAAAGCTAGAAGAGCAGAGTTGAAGTCCCAGATGGAATAAACTCGAGTCATGGAGCAGTGGGATGATCACAGCAGGATTCCGCAGCAAAATCCTTACAACCATTCCCTAGATGGGGAGAAAAAAAAGAAAGGTAATATTCATGTCCACCTTTCTCAACGTGTAGATCCACGCATTTCCCAGCAGAGGTGCGGCCCCTCGGTACCTCCGCGCTGCCGCCAGACCCAGCTCACCTGCCCCGCCGGCGGGGCCGGGCCGGGGCTGAGCGCGGCGGAGGGGGCGGTGGGGCCCCGCTCCAACGGGGCGGCACCGAAGGGCACCGACCCTCTCTCCCCGGTGCTCGCCCGCACCTTTCCCCGGCCGGGCCGGCGGCAGCTCCGCACCGCCCCCGCCGTGTCACTCAGCGCCGTTCCTGCCCACAGCCCGCGGGCAGGGCGAGGGCGGCTCCGCGCCCGCACACACCCCCCGTTCCCCGCCCGCCCTCGCAGCGCCGGCGGGAGAGACTGGCCCGCGCCTCTTCAGCCACGGCCGGCGAGGCCCCGCTCACGCCCCTGCGCCGCCATCAGCTCCGCCGGGCGCCGGCGCCGAGGAGGTTCAAAGGCCGGGCGGGCGGGGGGACAGGGCGACCCTGGGGCTTCCCGGCCGTGCGGGGGGCGGTGGGAGGGACCCCCGGGCCTGCGGCCGCCTGGCGGGGACTCTGCCGGCGGCCCTGCTCTGCTCTGCCCTGCCCGGCGGGCCGGTGCGGCGGCCGTGGGATCCCGGCCCCCACGGGGTCCCAGCCCCCACGTCCCTGCCTCGGGGGTAGTTTGGAAGGGGAAATCGGAGCCGCCCGCCTGAGCCGCCCCTTCCCCCGCAGGCCGCCGGGACCATGACTTTCCAGTGGACGGCAGTGGCTGGCTTCCTGTACGGCGAGATCGCAGTAATTCTCGTGCTTTGCCTGCCGTTCATTTCCCCGCTCAGGTAGGGAGGTCTTCGGTCTGCTGGGCAGCCCAGCTGGTGCTTCTTACCACTTTGAGTTTATTTTACTCCTCCGTTTTTGTAAATACGGAGCTTTGCTGCGTCTTACGTTAGTTGTGAACAAAGCTGAAGGGATGCTGTTTGGGACTGGATCATCAGGAGTTGCAAGCCTCTTGAAGAAGCTTTATGATTTCTGCGTAGTGCTGATTCATCCGAACAGCGGTCGGGGTGCCCAGATGAGCCCCCCTGCTTTGTTTCAGCAGGTGGGACGGCTTCTCCCAGGGTTCTCGAGTAGCCAGCATGAAGGCAGGCATCTAGCAGTAAAAAAAAAATGAGAGGAGGATTCAGCTTTTTCGGCAGTCGTTTGTCAAATTTGTGACGAGCAACTTTATGTTTTGGTTGTACACGAGGCATTGTGGGTACTGGACAGATAAAAGACGTCAGATACTCAAAGCAAGCTGCATAAAGCACATTTAAGGGCTGCAAGAAATCTGTGATACTAGTTTAGAAAAACTGAACTTGAGTTTGATGCAGAAAGTTCAAGATTACTGAAATAAAGGCCTCTATAGGCTTATATATAGATTAACGAAATTATAGTAGTTCTGGAACAACACAAACATTAAGAAAACAGTAAATTCTTGTAAAATAAATGCACATAGTAAGAGAAAAAAACAAAATATGCTCATTACTCTTATTCTCTGCGAAGGCCTGGCTTACAGCATTATCTTAAGATTGTTTCCTGTAAGTAGGTCTTCAAATTTGGTAATGTTAATTTCTTTACAGGATTTGAAGAAAGCTACCTTCTCCACAAGAGGCAAGAGAAGCAGACTTAGGATTTCTTTTCAGAACATCAGGATTTAAAAAAAAAAAAAAAAAGCCAGAAACCACAAAAAACTCACAACGCCCCCAAACCAAATAGGATGAAACCTTAAAGCTTTTTCAGAAGAACTAAAAATGCTGCTGTCTCAGTGCTCTGTAAAAATTGTTGCATGTTTAATTTCTGCATCTTTAGATGTATTTAGAATGAAGTATGCAGCTTTTACTGTAATATCTTAAGAAATAAAACCTGCTGTGTGGAGAGTCTGAATTTAACTACTTAAACCTGCAGAAGTCTTGAAAATGACTGGCTTCTCTACAGCAGATACCAATAATTAGTCATGTTTCCTTAGATCCAGAAATTGAAACTATTCTAAAAATCTAGTTTAACTTCCCATTTTTACAAGTTGGCTTGTGGGGAGTTAAGCATTTCAACACAGATTATTAAGTTCTCATACTTTCTCTTGTTTTCTAATCAAAAGTGCAACTGTATGTAAGAGGGGAGAAGGATTATGGCAGTCATAATCATCAGGTTATTAATGGTTTATGTGAGGAAACTTGCTGCAACAATTTCTGCAGGCTGATGACACAAGCAGAGTACTTTGGGAATACTGAAATATGTTTCACTTGTGGCGCAAACAGGGCTTGAATCCAGTGTGCCTGAAAGGCTTTAAATTATATTAAAAGGATACATTCCTGTGCTCTGTTTGGAGCATTGAGCTTTTCCTCTCAACAGTGATTTCTGAAAGCGTGAAATAGCTTTATCCCTTATGTGCCATGTGCCAGTTATCTTCTTAATAAAACTTGCAGGAATCTTGTGGGGTTAAAGCGTAGATTTAGCTGCTGTGACAGTACCGGGGGGTAACAGCTCTGCTGTACTCATCTTGCTGGCCTGAGAGCTGGTTCTGTCAGAGCAGCAAAGCATGCGTGGATACTGACAGGTGTGAAACTGCTCTTCTTTGAAGTTTGATTTATTCACTTCTCTGTCTTCAAAAAGATTCTCTGTCTTTTTTGTGCCTACACTTTTTTTTTTTGTGGTTAATTTTTTGAAATTTGCTAACAAGCTTTTAAGTTCCCAGAGAGCAAGTAAATTGACAGTGTAAAAATGCAAGTACGCAAAAAGACAGATCTGTACTACTAAGTGTAGTACATCCACAGTGGTGACTGGTATTATAGTTTGGAAGGATTATATTTATCTGACTTTTGTCACCAAAAGGAAATGGAGCATTAGGAAATGTAAATGTCAATACTTGTTGAGGAAAAATAAGTGGGAAAATAGTACACAAGAAGACTTTGCAGTAAAGAGATCTAATTTTTAGCCTGATTATAACTTGGCAGTGTAGTCGATGTAAGGTCGTACCTCAGAGAGTCACTTCTGAAGTGGAGGTCAGTATGGAGCTTGGAGAGTTGCGTGTTTGAAGAGTCTATAAGTTGGCTTTGTTTGAGTTGTAGCTTGAAGTAAGCTTTTTGTTTGATACAGACCGAGGCTGTCTGCTATAAAGAACTCAGATTATATTAAAAGATTTAAAGGAGCTTTTTGCATGCACAATGTTAAAACATTTTAATCCTTTCTGGTGAACATTCAGAAAGAACCATAGGAGATGATGCTACAGTCTAATTTAAGTTAAATTCTTATTAGGTTGGAAACTGATTTGTTAGAGGCCAAATTTTAACAGTCTCTGTGAAATGTAAATAGCATTAACAAAAGTTGGAAATTTTACCTCATATAATCAGACAGTGAGTAGCATGTCTGTGTTACATCCCTAATGTGTGACTAGGCATTATTTCATTTGTTTAGTAGGACTGATTTTAACCTGCAGCAAAAGACAAGTAGGTGCTCTGTTATCACTGGTTGCAATTCATTTGAGCACATCAGATGTTCTTCGTTTGTGCCGCAAGTGTGAATTCTTACAGAACACTCCATGCAGTAATATCAAATAGATGATTGTTTTAAAAAATAATAATAATTGTCTTAACCACCGTTGGGCCTCTGAAGTTGCTTCTGTAGCCAGCAAATTTATGCTAGGGAAAGGGATTTTAACCCTTGACAGAATATAAGCATAAGACTTGTCTTTTTGTTGTCATTACAGGTTAGACTGTTATAACAGTCTTTGTACCTCATAATTACGCAGATTCATCAGCGTAAAAGATAAGCCTTCTGAAGAAGGATGGTAGAGATGATCCTAATTCATGGAAGCTTTTAATTTTATTTGGCAACAAGGGGTATAAGCGGATAGAAATAAAAACGATGGAATGGATTTTACAGTCTTTACCCCATCCCTAAGTTTATTGTAGTCAGGACTGAACATCAAGTAATTCTAGCCAAAGTAAAAGCTGAAATGCAAACTCCTTGCATGATAGCAGGTGTGTTTTAAGTTGAACCAACTATCTTTGCCTATATTGACAACAAATAAAAAAGAGATGAGCAAGTTGTATTGTTGGAAAAGTTAAGTGTACTCCTAAATTGTATTGCAATTAAAGCAGCTGTTTAGAGACCTTAACAAGTCTCTTATCAATAACAAGGCTCTCTTCTGTGAGGTTGTTATGCTCTTCTTTTACTGCTTAATTATTTTTGAATAACACAGTGCTGTTTTACAGATGGCAGAAGATTTTTATGATTCCTCTATGGAGCAAAATGGCAGTATTTTGGAACAAGATGTTCCTTACAATAATAGTTTTACTGATCGTCTTGTTTCTTGGTAAGTGTTAAATATTCAGTTTCTTAAGAAATGGGGGAAAAACCTGGTACATGGAGTTCGTATCAGTAAATTAACTGAAAGGGTTCAAGCCTAATGTAAATCAGCTAATTTATTGAAAAGTTATACAATGGAATGAAAGAGGACAGGGCTTATACTGCATCCACATTGGGAATCCAAATGCAATACTAATATAGTAGTGAATGAGGAGGAAAAATGGGGCTGAGTCTAGGCTGCTGCTTGGTTTCACTTTCTCAGACAGGTAAATGAACGTGTTTCACACAAGAATTTGGCTGAACTGTGCCTTATGCAGTAGATGGCACTCTTTCCCTTTGTTGCTGTTGAAGAATATATCAAAACACTGGGCTATTTGACTACTTTTCCTCAGTTCAGATACAAAACAGCTGTTGGCTACCTCTGTTATGAGTAGATCCTGAGGTCCATGAAGTAGGAGTAAAGCTTTAATGAAACTGGAGCTTGAATGGTGACCATATGCCTGATTTATTTCGTGTAATGTCTTTCTTGACTGCTTTGTGAGGTAAGCACCTTTCAGTGATGAAAATAGTTCTCCTGTGTTTAGGGATAGTAGTAGTTCTCCATGGACAGAAGTGTTTCCAGCACCTTAGAATGAACATGCTATTTGATTCCAAGCTACTTGAAATAGGAAGAAAAAATGCATGGTTTTATTTTCTGCTGAGGGAAATATACAGATGCACTACATAAATAACAATGTTAGGCCAGACTGCAATACTACATTCTTAATATTAAAAATGTACCAGAAATACAAATAAATTTTTAAAATCATTATTTAAGATTATGCTTAGTATTATAAGTAGATCTTCAGTAAATGGCTTAAGACTGAAAACTAATGGATTTCATTTACTCTCTTGAACAAAGTTTGCTTTTGAGTTGGTGATAGTCATTGATTTTGCAGAAAGATGAAGTTGAGCTAAAGTAAAGCAGTGATGAGATGCTTGCCCCATAGCATAAAGTGATAGGTTATTGCAGGACAAGACTCTTCCTATAGCACAGGGACATGCATTTGTTTACTCCTAGTGTGTGATGCATTGTTTGAAGTTTTACTTCAGGTTTTTTTTCCCTTCTTAATAACTTAGACATATGAAAGAGGCAGTCATAAGTGATGATATTCACATGTGTTTTTCTTTGGAATTGATTTTGTTTGCTTAGACAAATGCAGCAGCAGTTTAATAACATGGCCAAAATACTCTGCAGGAACTGACGATGTCATGAAATGTGTATATTTGTTGATGCGCAGAGGGAGATTTAAGGTGCTGTATTCGTCATAGGAATGTATGACGACCTTAAGTTTATATATTGTAATATGAACTCTTAACTGGGTTAGATTTGGGGTTTGTGTGGATGTAAGTCCTAATTAATTATTTTGTCCTTTGAAAAGTGTTTGCAGTATATTAGCCCTTTTGCAGAACTATCAGGAGTATATGATGAATGAAAAGAAGCTGAAAGATGTATGAAAGATGATTGAAAGCTGAGGTGTAGCTTACCTCCTCCATTCTGTTTATTATGTTATTACAGTTAGTGGTTACTACTGATGTTACTGTGTTACTACAGTCTTTCTATTTTGATGGATGTTACAGAAATAATTTTCTCCCTCTGTGATTCAAGCATAAAGTAGACACTTGTGTCATTACTAAAACACATGCTTATCTAACAAACTCTATATGAAATACTTGAGAAAATATTTCTTCTTTTCCCCTCTCTTCCTCATTTCTCACTGTTTGTCCAGGGGAGGATTTTAACTCAGTTGTCAGTAGTGATGTTTCAACACTATGGGGTCTTTGGTAACATTTGTAGTGTGTTGCTTTGGCCTGGGGACTGGGGACTGGGTGCAAGTGTTAGAAATGACCGTTCAAGCATGTTTTGGGCAATAGTTTGTCATATTTCTGGAAATATGCTGGAGTGCTTCAGTGATTTATCAAGACCAGCCTTTAAAATGTATAGATACCATAAGCAGTGCCACTACTTGTCTTATTTCTCTTTGCTGAGCAGAAAGTCCAAATACATATTTCTAGTACTAAGTGTGGTTTATCATACGTGCACACCCACAGATGTGAATAAGAACGGACTGGTTTTGTTTGCAGATGCTGTTAGAGAAGTCAGGAAGTACTCATCCGTTCACGTGAATGAAAAGGCTGCAAACATCAATAGTAGTGCCTTTGATCACATTCAGATGAAACTCTTTCGATCGCAAAGAAACCTCTATCTCTCAGGTTTTTCCTTATTTCTTTGGCTGTAAGTATGAGATTTTTCTAATATCTGCACAGTATGTTTATTACAGGAACTGTTGCACAAATTGTAAAGTAAAGATCAGAAGGCCAATTTCAAGAGATTAAAGAATTAAGTGTGACCAGGTTGGATAAGAGGCAAGTAAGATCAGGGAAAATAATACCTTACAAATATTTGAAGATTGGAAGGATGTGTGAGCGACACATGGAAAGAAACATTTTGAATGCTGGAGAAAACATATATTTTGCAGAAGTTTCTTCAGGGAATACTCATTTCCTTCCTTAAAATTACACCCTTTTTTTTGAACATGGAAAACTGAAATAAAAAAAAATCAGAAACTAAAGTACTGTTAAAATAATGTTAATATCTTGCAAGCTGATATTTTTGCATCCTGCTGTGTTAAGAAGCAAAACTGGAGCCTGACTTCAACCACTTCATCTCAAGCTCAAAGTTAAGACTTTTGATAATAAGTTAAGAACTTAAGATAATATTCCAGCCTTCAAGGAAAGTTTCAGATATATTTCAGATCAAGCACTTTGTGGTAACTTGCCTCCTATGGTGTTATGATCTTAAATCTGGTGTCCCTTTCAGGATGTTTAAATACAGCTAATAAGTAAAGGAAAGGACACTTCTATACTGCCCAGCAGTAGCAGCCAAGACAACCTGTGAATCAGTAGCCACAACAACCTGCTGGTGTTAACAGTGGGCAGGGAGCACATGAGCTCATTGGACACAGATAATGTGAATTAATCGAAACGGATGTGCTGGTCAAATGAGTTCCTATTTGTACATTTTTGTGGTGACTGGGCAAAGAATGCTGGTCCTCTTCTGAGTTACTTCAGTGAGCTGCTTGACGTTGCCTAGATATGCAAGAAGAACACAGATCAAGAAAATCACAGAGACTTCTGACAAACTTCTTCCCCTTAGAGTGACGTATTGCCATTTTAGCAGATCATTGAGGAGCGTTGAACATAAAAAAGTGTCAAAGAAAAATTAATATGAAACTTGAGCAGGAAAACATTGGAAAAAACAAAGGTGGTTCTAGCCTTGCACAATAGTGATATGAATGCATCATGTTCTTTGTCTTCCTTTAGAAAGGTTGAGTAAATATGCACAAATATGTTTTTGATCTCTGCTCCAAGAGGAATAGCTGGGTTGTGTCCTGCACAAGAGCTGGAAGCTGGTCCCCCAGGATCCTACTCCCACTCAGCTTTCAAGGAAGAAGACTTTTCACGTGGCCCCAGCAGATTTTATTGTGCATAAAAGTTCTACTGTTGAAGAGATTTGCTTGAAGTGTTTTTTTGGGCTATTGGCCTTTCACCAAAATTTAGAGGAAATAAGTACTCCTACAGTAGCAGCTAGAGGAAAGGACTTTTCTTAGTAGAGCTATTTTGCTTCTCTCTTAAACAGGCAAAATGTCTGTCAGAGAAGGTGAGGAAAGTGTTCCTTGGGTTGTCTTATCCTGCACTGCTACTACCATCACCCAACCAAGTTCAGACCACATGTAGGTGTGAACGGGTACTTGGATGCCCCTGGTTTATTCTTTGGGTCAGTTTTAGTTCATTTCAGCACATCAGCCAATAGGAAAATTCCATAATAGTGGTAGACAGAGATTCACAATATGGAGGAGGCTGGGAGCTTGTCACACATAACAGGACAAGAAAAGCTTTTCATCTGTGGTTCAACAATTGTGGAACATTGGGTAAGGATGAGGAAAATGGTCTCCTGTGTTTGGAGGTATTGGATCCAGCTGAGCCCTAATATGCAAACTGCAGAGAAAAGAGAAGGGTCATAGTCTCCAGAGACTGTCCCTTGGGTAGGACAGAGACACCCATCTGCTAGTCTGACTTGATGTCTTGGAAGATGTGGAGAGCCTACCAAGGCTTGTTTGGCCCTCTGTTACCCCATGCAGAACCGGAGAGGGACAAGAAGGGCTGAAAACTAAAGGCAAGCTCAAGAAAACATTAGCCCACTGGTCACTGGGACCAAATGATTAAGTATTTGGAAAAGAGTGAGGCATTGAGTATCTCATGATCAACCTTAGGTTGCTTTGTTTCATACTGATAAGTTCTGCTGTTTGGCCTCCCAATTCCCTGAGCCTTCTGCGATAGTCAGTGGGTAATGTAACATCACCCCCACTAGCAGGTGCAACTGGGGAGTACATAAGCAGATTGGGCACATAAAAGTCTGTGTTATCTTAGGATGGCATGTGTCCTTGCTGTGATGACCCACGGGGACCTCTGAGGAGAGAAGAGGGAGCTTGTCTTTCAGCCAGAAAAGAAGAGCCCTTGAAGGGAAAATCCTATTGGTTGCTATGTCTGTCTAGTAGTAGCTTGTAGAAAAGATGGAGTGAGCTCATTTCAGTGGATCCACACAGGAATGACAAGAGGTAACAGGTCAGGAACCTCAGATAGAAAAGGTAGAAAAGCACTTCTACTATCAAGAGCAGTTAAACACTGGAACAAGGCCCCTGAATGATGGTGGAATCACCCATCATTGGAGATGGCAGGAAATCAACTGGACAAGGATCTGAGCAATCTGCTCAACCTGTCCCTACTCTGGGCAGGATGACCTCTGGAAGCCCCTTTCAACCTACATGATTCTATGATTCTGTTTTAGTTGTGGTGTTTTAATGACTCCTATAAATTAATAAGCAATAGTAAAACATGCCAAGCCTTGGAAAAGTAGTGACATGGGGACCTTAACTTTTTTACTAATCCCCAAAAAAGTAAGAAAATGAACTTTCAGTGAAGAAGCTGGGGGGTGAGGGGAGGCTTACTTTGAAAAGGTCTACTAATATTTTTTCAATTATGAAAAAGCTAATTACTTGGATTTTCAAATTTCTTTGAAGAGCAGCTGCATAGTTATATTACAGGCATTAATTTAATTTAGTGTTACTTTGGCTTGATTCAGCAACGTACTACTTTGAAAGACTCCAAGATGAATAACAAAAGTAGTGATGCAAAGAGGCAATCATTAGATCAAATCTAGGCAAAGCTTAGATTTGAGGTGCCATATGCATGCTCTTGATTTAATTGTATTGACAAAGTACTTTGAAGATTAATATGCTCACATTGCTAATTTTATTCTTGTAAGGCCTTTTATAAAGTTGTGGGAATTTTTTTTTTTTTTGCACTGTACTCCTCACTGTAACATGTTGTTTGGGTCTTGAATTTGGAGATCCATCCTATTTAAAATTAAGAGTAATTCAGCCTTTAAGCAAGCATGTCTGACCCCTTAATGGATGTGGATATTTAGGAGGAGGGAGGTTCCGCATAAAGTAAAAATCAGAATGTTGATGGATGAAAATACTTTCAGTCTCTCCTCTTACTGTTATTTGTCACGGATGAACCTGGATGTTTCCCTTCAAGTGCTTGAACAGCTCTCTTCTGGTTTTGTTTTTATAGCTAATGCAGCAAATGAAAAGGGGTTGCTTTGGTTTTCTGGCTTGTTTGGTTTGTTTTGGTTTTTGTTGGTTTTGATTTTGTTTAAAAAAAAAAATTATGATATGAATTATAGTTCTATTCACTGTATTTCTTCACAGTGTATTGAGACGTACTGTCACCCTTCTCACTCAGTTGGCAAAAGAAATGGCATCTCATGCAGCTCTGGAAACGCAAGTAAATGATGCTACTGAAGCAGCCAAAAAATACATGGCCGAGAATGAAAGGCTGCAGGAGGTATCTTTGAGCTTCTTTAGTTATTTTCTTATTCAGCAAGTAGTTAGTACAAAATACTATGAGGATGATTTGCTACTGAATAATATTTGTTCATTTTTTTCCCTCTGGTGGAAAAAGGAAGAACTATGTTCTTACAATATGTAATTCAGAATACTGAAAACAAATTTCAGTAGCATTTTACTAACAAAGGAAACTGAAGTAATCCAAATAAATGATGTTCTGTCTTTCCAGGACAAATTTCATCGAAGTACTAAGAGATTCTTAAAATATCTCTGAATTTAATCGTAATGAAGTAGAGGGAGACACTAATTTAACTCTTTTTATCCTGAAAAATTGGCTGTTTAGGTCAAGGCTATAGCAGTGCAGGATGAAAAATCCTACAATACAGCTGTTTTCATGCTGGGTGTTTCTTCTTAATAGGATTTTCTCCAGTCTTGTAAAATTGATATTTTGTAGTCACTGTATTTTGTATTCTTGTATCTTTTTATACTTTCCTTTTTTAGTAGACACTACCGTAGTATTAATGAGTCTTACTTAAAAGAACCACCAAGGGATCAAAGAGATGTTATTTTTATGAGAAGAATGGAGAAAATTAAGCTATCATTTTTCTTTTATGGTTCAATACACAATTGTATGCAGGAAGGGAAGTAATCAAAGATAATCAAGATAAATGTATGAAATCTTTCCTTGATTAGTTTGAATTCTGTTTGAAGAGACCGAACCATAAGCTAATGCGCAGATATGTGGGGTATGAAGACTTTTAGAGCATTCGTCAGTCTGGCTCATTGTCAAAACAAAATTCACTGCACGTGTGTACAGGTTTCCTTCGAGTTTGTCTAACACAGCGTCTATGGTTACCAATACTGTAATTTTTTTGTAATAAATCTTCAGACAAAGAGAACAGATTCTGGACAAAAAAGTACAAGAAGGGATGTAAAAAAATGCAGTTGTTTGAGAGCTGTTGTAAAACAGGGATCATTAGAGCACGTTAGGTGTTTCCTGAGTATGCAATTATTACAAAATTTTGTGATTTGGTATTTTGTCAAAATGATCCAGACTCCCTCCCTCAGCCATGGAATTTGTCCCTTTACTGTCTATGGTACTTTTTTTTCTTCTCTGTTTTGTTGGGATTTGGCCAGAAGTCCTCTTTTTTTGTTCTGCTTTCATATTCCCTTAGCAACACATTCTCTTAGCCGCTTGTAAGCGATAGCCAGAAACTGGGAACTGTACTCCTGTCTGTTTCTGTTTGTGTATTTGATTGCATAGTTTGCAAAAACACTGGTAGCCACAGGTCCAGGCAACATGCTGTGGCTGGATCTCCGTTGTGACGGACATGTGAAGTGTTTGGAATTGGAATATTTTAACTTTATAGACATACTGTGGCTTAGATTTCTCTCATCCAGTGGCTTGGCCCCTGCATTTGTGTTTATTTGCAAGTGTGCTTCATTCTGCCATCAGAGAGAGGTGAGAGCAATTGCATAGAAGGCACTGGCTGCAAGTATAAATACTATAAGTTTACTCTGGTGTGCGAGGTCTGCACTGTCTCCTGTTCAGAGATTCCTTGGAGCACAGGACTTAAGATGAAAGTTTACAGAAATAGCTATTTGCATATTAATAGAAAGAGGTGATCACAAAGTAAAGGAGACAGTTGGCTAATGTTTTCTTACCAGCAGTCCAATGTAATCTCCACTCTTTGATTAAATAGCTTCTGGAAATTTTTCTTCAGCTCTTTTCCATGGATTGTTTACCAGTCTCTAGAAAAGGTTCTTTTCCTTCATCTTGATAAACCGGTCTTTTTCTTCTTCTTAAAGTAATCTTTCCCCCTTTATCCCACCTGTGCCCGGTAAACTCTGCTATCACAAGTTCACCTAACAGCTGTTTATCCAGTTGTTTCATTTTTCTTTTTTCCATTAAGCATTTTCCACTTTTTTACCATTTTCATAACAGAGATCATGTGTGGTTGGGCAGTAGAGGCAAGTAGAGCAAAGGGTCTAATGATGGGGTCTAATCTTACATCTTAATAACATGCATAAGTATAGTAGTGCCAGCAGTTTTATAGTACAGGGAAGATATTGCTCTTGTGCCTAGTGCTTACAGGGCTCTTCCTGAATCCTTTCCTAGGTTTTTTTCTTGAATTTCACTGGAAATTGGATCTAGATATTGAGGTATTCTGAAGATGGAAGAAGTAGCTGCAAACCTACAAAGAGAGAAATCGCAATAAACTATTAGAACAAGTTGCACATAAATATGACAGTGTTCTGTCACTGGCAGTCCCAGCATATATCTTCTGAAAAATTCATTTATAACATAAACAGAAGTTGTACACCTGATGCAGAAATACTCTTACTTGTAACAGAATGGTATTATTTCCTGTGTATGCCATTACTATCAACCTAAAACATTGAGCTTTTTTATCTCCTTTTTTTTTTTAATTCAGGGGGATTTTTTTTCTAGAATGATCATCTGCCTGTATCATGTTGACATTTGATAAAACCTGTTGGTTTGCAAGATTGAAGTTGACGTTCTTTGGGTGTTTCGCATTAATGTCAGACTAATGAAAATAAAACTAATTGTAGCAACTGTGGTTTTTATTAGGCCTTGGGCGGGCAAGGAAGCGGTAAAAAGAAAGAGTCAAAGGAAGCAACTCAGGAAAAGTTGAAGGAGGAAGTTGAATATTTGAAAGCAGAACTACAGAAGACATCGACTGGTAAGTATTAGTTAGGACTTCTTTGCAATTAAGAAAAAGATGATTTCAACACTGAACGTCAAAAATGTATTCTAGGTATAGCACTAATTAACTTACTTCATCCATTTCCAGAACACTTGGCATGGTGTTTCTTTACATTTGACTAGGAACTGGCAAAACATCACTGCCATCCCTGTATTTTAGTAAATGTTTCATTATGAAATGTGTACAGTGTAATTGGAACACCTTAATTAAATTATAATTATTAACAAATTGAAAGGATATATTTAAGTGATGTTGACTTGTCTTCTTCAGTGACATGACCAGGATGTGGAATCAATTACAGGTTGCTTATAGGCATGAGTTTGATCTTTCATATCATACATAGCAGCCACTGTCACTGTATGAAATGGGGAAGTATGTGGTTGAGGTTTTTTACTGTAGCATAGGGTTTCTGTCAGATAGCAGAAAAGTCCTTGACAAGTATTCTAAATTTATATCTGTTCTGCAGCAGAGGTGTTAAGGTGTTAAGCTTTTCTAATTTTGTTTTTTTTTGTCTACAAGAAAACATACCTTGCAATTTGTAACATAACACTTTTGTTACAGCTTCCATGTTTAAGGTTTAGGTTGTCAAAACTGCTTTATAGGCAACCCAAATTGAGATAGAAGCAGATTTTACCTGTTTGGTTCTGTCTTACTGGGATCTGTCAAGGTGTGTGATGCTTATGAACACCTGCTCCTCTGAGATTGGTGTTTTTAAGATAACACTGGCTGTGATCTAGTAAACATTAATCAGATGTTCAGAATGTAACAAAATACAGATTTTCATGGTACCAGATTGTGTGTTGTCATCAAAACATAGCCTTGCTTTCATATTGCGTGGCAGTGCTACAGAGCTGTAAGAATAACAGCATATATTTCATGTATCCTTTTTCGTTGTCTTTTTTCACTGGGAATTCAAACTAGAACTGTAGAACAGCTGTTTTCAGCTAGGCTTGAAGCAACAACAATCTTTAAATAGAGAGTCTCATTAGTTCACATTCTCAGGCAGGTTTGGTAGTGGGTTTTCCCTCTCCTGCTGTTTTCTTGAAGAAAGGGGGGGAAAACTGCCTTTGAAGTGACAGGATCAATGGAAAATTTAAATGCATATGTTTTATTTAAACTAACTGGTGGTATGTAACACTAATATAATGTAAGCTTTTCAGACAGGAATGCTAGAGAAAGTGAAGGAATAAATAGATTTACCTCATGCTGCTTCAGCTGCATTCTCCCTGTGAGCTGTTGTCCATGCAAAACATGTATAAATTAAGGCATGCTTGAATCTTTTGTTAGGGCAAAGGTGGGGGAGAGAGTCTTTCTTAGGAATGAATAGGAAAATATTTACAACCCTTCCGCTGATGCCATCCTCCTCATTGCCAAAAACCCCATAGGCATTACTATCAGCAGCTAGGTGGTGTTAAGGTATGTCTGTCTTACAAAAAGTAAGTTTTCTTGTATGTTATGTTGAGCAAACTGATAACCAGAAGGTTTCAAATCCCACATCCACAGACACAGGTTTCTACGGAGTGTTAGAGAAAGTGCATTGAATTTACTGTTTTCTTTTGGAATTCCTGCAACTGAGCAGGTGAATGTTGAGTTTCATGCTCACTAAGTGTGAGCAATGCATTACACAAAATGAAAGTTGAGATATAAAAGCTTGTTTTACCTCTTTTAAACTACTTGTTTCATGCTACTAAGCTCACATGACTAAAGTGACCTTTCCTTTGTGTCCAATCCATGAAATTGTGGGGGGGAAATGAAGAGTGTAAAGGGTGTCACCAGTAATGAAACAAGGCAAAACTAGTATAAATATTAAAACTTCACTGGATTTGATTTCGGAGGTTTTCTTTTTGTTTATTTTTCAGCGATAGTATCAGTGCAAGTAATAAGTTTGGATTTTGTTCTTGTTTGGTTGGGGTTTTGCATTTGGGGGGTTTTTTGCTGTTTGGAAGAAAAAACATGTTTAATCTTTTTCACAAGGTAGTTTCAAATATCCATTTTTCTGGTCTGGGACATATGTTAAGCTACTGATGCATGGTGGTACATTATTTTATACTGGGCCACATGTTGAAATGTCGATTAATTCAATAGAGTGGCACCCAGGAGGAGTCCTAAATGTAAGGCTGCTTCACATTTAAGAACACAGTTTAGTATCAGATCGGTGCTATGACTTCACTGGAGATCCAAATTTTCTCTAAGGTTTTGAGTCAGTATTTACAACTGGCAGAGAAAATACTGTATGTCTCCTCTTACTAAAATTATAGTGTAGACAGAAATTATTGCAGACTTTCAGGACACTCATCTCTAGTTCTTCACTTTTTACAGGAAACACAGCTTCTTTTCTCAGTTAACTGTAAGTGAAATCCTAAGTTAAGAAGACATTTTTCCACCTCCTGTGCTTTGAAAAAACAGTATGAAGACTGAGTAGTGAAATTACTAAAATCTGAGGAAAGGTTAGAAATAAATGACAAAGATTTCAGCCAAATTTGCTTCCTTTTCAGACTTGACTTTCTTATTCCTCTTGATGCCTTTTTTTGTTTTATTCCAGAAATGAAGAGGACTAGTTCCTCACTACTTTATTGCAGCTCCACATATGGTTGTCAGGGCTTTATAAGCACCCAGCAGTGGGGCTAGCACTTTGAGAGCCTAAATCCATTTTTAGCATACCTAGACATGTAATAACATGACTGTATAGAAACCTTTGAGATGGTAATTTATTGATAAAGTTGTATATGATGAAAAATGTCTCATTGATACCTACAAGTAAATACACATACTCGTTGGAGCACGCAGCATAGGTGAGAATTTTTCTCCTGCTACACATTAGACATATTTCTAACAAAATGTTGATTCAGATAATTAAAGGCTCTCAGTATGACTGCTAATCTTGGACCTACAGGGATTTTTCTGGGGAAGAAAGAGATGCTAGGATATTGTTCCAGGTTTTGAAAACTGTCCACAAAGCCACAAGAAAATAAATTACATGGAATTGAAAATGAAGTTAGAGTTGAGAGAAGTGTCATAAAGCAGCAGTCCTTACAGCGACTGGGGCTGGGGGCAGTAACAGGGCTAGCGGTGCATTAACTTTCTTTTCTTGCTCACAGATCCCAAACTATGGAAATGTGTGTGAAATGTCAGTTTGTTATTATTGGACCCTTTGGGCAGGAGGGAGACTTCTGCAATGCTGTACTATTTCAACTTCTGTCACATCATTTTTAGTGACACTTTCCTAATATATGGTAAAGGCTACAGCTTTGTTTACACAACATAAATTTATACAGAACATGGAATATCGATCAAGTTGTGTGGCAGAACAGACTGGTGACAGACTCTTGTCCAGCTTGTTGACCCCTCGCTTTTCTAACAATATTTCATAGCAAATGGCATGCACCTTAAGTTTCTGTTGGCAGCTGATGTAGCACAACAGGCATTGAAGTCCCAGTATCTCTGTGTGCAGTTATTTGAGCTGTGGCATTAATTGCATCTTTGAGCTGAGTCTGTAGTGCCACATTGAGACAAAATCTGTTCCATTAGGATTCCACTTCGTGAAATATGTGCTGGCTCACCGAAGTCATTTAGATGCTTTTGAAGTTTAGTTCAACTTTTTCTGAAAATACTCTCTATTTATATATCGTTGTCATAGGCATACAGTGCAGCAGGAGGAAATTCTGATGAAACTTCCGTGCATCCTTTGAGGTTTGTTTTGTGTACAGAATGTGTCACAAGTGTTTTTCATTTCATGGTTGCATAGTGTTGTAGGAGACAGGAAGAGAGCAATAATTTATGTGGAGGGCTGGTTTTGAAATAGCTTTTAATTGTTAACTGTTCTAGAAGGTATGAATGTACAGATGTACAGCTTTCACTTAAAAGTGAAGATTATTAGGTGTTAGTTAATTAACCAATACAGACATTGGGAATGCATTTCATAAAACTGGCTGCAAGGGAGAGTTCAGCTTGGCCTTTGTGTTGCCAGGCAGGCTAGTGCCATATATGAAAACTATGTTGAGCTCCACTGATGCACTCCAGTTTTTAAAAAAAACAAGTTAAAGGAATTGGCCACTATCTTGTGTTATTTAGCCAATGGCAGAGGGAGGTTTTAGAAATAAAGTCAGTCTTACTTAACCTTACTTTTTACTTGTGGGATCATAAGCTTGGTGGGAGACATTGCATGACGTCACACGCAATAAGAGTTGATTGGAAGGGATGGCGCTGCATACACAAGCGTGGTTTTGTTATACAAGGCTGTTTATGCCATCGGAAGATTCTCTTAATATCATTTTGTAACAAAATTTCATTTGCAGTTACAGAAGGTACTTGAAGCAAATTTGTGATTGATTTTTTTGGCCCTGCCTTTTTGTTTTAAACTCTGTTTGACCATTATATCTTACGAAGAGAATTCAGAATTAGTATGGAATTACTTGACTGGAGTTTTGTTCCCAGCCTTACAAGCGTATTTGTTGGCAAATCTTTTGTGCCGTAAATGCCTAAATTCTTAAGTGTGAATAGCTCTTTCTCAACTTGAAAACTTTTAAAAGAGGGGGCTCTTTCTTACTCTTTAACTAGTCCAAATCATTTGGGTTGTAGGCTTGTATTGTGAGCAATGCTAATGTAAGTTCCAGATGGTTTCCTTAGTAGCAAGCACTGTAAGTCAAGTGATTTAGTCAGACCAGGACTAGTATTTGTGCAAGAAAACACCCAAAGAATCATCAGTTGGTTTTGTTGCTGTTTGGTTTTGTTTTAGTGTTTGCTTCTCCATGCTCATTGAATGAGAGAATCATAGAAATGCTACAGCTGCTGGGCTGTGGTAACCTCCTCATCCTGCTTCGAATTCAGACCAATATGAAGTAAACTATCTGTGCTGGATTAGGATACAGAGAATGTGGTGAGAGAAGGACTAGTTCTCTACTTCTGCCAGACTGTACATGTTACATTAGTTTATGGATCTCCAGTCACACATGTAACACAAGTGTAAAGGGATAAAGTTTGCCACAAATGTCTTCCACTGAAACACTGCCCTAGGAATGTTTTGTTGATTTTTATTTGAAGGGAAGGGGAAGAAATGAAAAAGGATAGCCTACCTCTCACAGTACTGAGGCTGGATTTGAGTTCTGGGACTTACTGACTATTCCTCTCATTAGTTGCATTAATGTAGAAGCAGCATCCTCACCTCCTGCCTGCTCATGCCTTTTCTTGGTAGGAACAGTCAGCTGTTGGGGTTTGCTTGCTGCCAGTGCAGCTGTTCTGTCTCCTGTGAGGCAAACCAACAGGCCAGATGGAAGCCAGAAATAATAACTGACTGTGTTGTGCACACAAAGGATTTTCTGTTTCCTGCTGGATCCGTGTTCGTATGATACAGTCCATATGACAAACAATGTACGTGTGCCATTGACTCAGCTGCACTGCAGTGCTTGTGCAGTACAGGAGAGTTGAGCAGTGAGATACGAACAGGCTCTGTTGCTAGACAAGAAGGCATCCAAAGAAATTGGTGTACTGAGGAATTCACATTGTCAGAGATGCGATGCTCCTTTTAATTGTGTGGTCCTAATAGGAACAAGTCTGGGTTTAGTGTTTTGTTGATGTTTTCGTTTTTTTGTCCATAGCCAACACAGGTGGAAAGGACAATCTGTTCCCTGCTTTTTCGTCTTCTAGGGTTAGGTGAGGTATTCCTGTCATACATCTGTTTTGGTCAAAACATTAAAACAATGCAGTAGCTTGTTAGCTTTCTTGATTTGTAGATGTTTTTAGATATTTTGTTCATATTTTGAAGATAAAGTAGTTTTCAGTTGCAACTAAAGTACTGTGCTGCTGCTTACAAATAACTAAATAGTATCAGATCAAAAACATTGAGTTCCTACTTCTTCAGAAATAAGTTCTCATTAATTTTTACTATAACTATGTATAAGAATGTTCAAACAAAAGCAGAATTTATTTTTCTAATTAGTAGATTCTTGAAGAAGTGAAATGGCATATACGTACAGTTTTTTGTCTACAGCTTAAAATTCAGAAGTTTATCAAATTGTCAAAAATTTATTTTATTGATTTCCAAATTTTACTATTGAATATTTTAAACAGTAATAAGATCAGAGAAAGACTAAATGCATTGGGGTTTGATTTGTCACAGGTGTGGAAATTATAGTTATTCCAAATACCAATACCTTTAGAAAATTTGTATTGATGCTGTCAAGAATGCCATAAAGGATGAAGGATAACTGTGTGGGAGTATGGAAATCAAAGAAAGGATGTAAAGAGATGGGGTGAATTTTTTATCGTGTTGGAATGAATAGACAGAAGTGTTATTAACTTCAGTAAATCAGAATTTCAGGCTAGGTAAAAGTCCTATTACTGGAAAACCACTTGCAGGCTTCTGAAATGAGAATCACTTTTCATCTATGCGTTCAAATTAATTACAAATAGCAGAAATGGGGAGGGAATTTTCCTTTTTGCATATAAAAGAGTGGTCAAATCTAGTTTCTGATTTTTCAGGAACTAGCAACCAAAGAGAAATCTGGTTCAGACCAAACAGATCTAGCTCCTCTTCTTGGGAATAGGCTCTTAGAGGTGCTGCAATTCTTGAGTGTCTTGGAGGTCTCTGGGAAAGAAGGCTCTGTCTCAGGGAATTCACAGTCAAAGGACAGATCCACATTTTTGGATTGCAAATGTTCTTTTTTTTATTTGTACCATCAGATTTGGTTGTTTGGGGTTTTTTAAGTGGCTATATGAGCCAGCCTTATTATGTCATTAGCAACGTTTGTTTTAGCATGAATATATCAAGTTTTAGAGTATGCCTGTGCTCTACAGCAGAGAAATACAATGATACTTGAGATACCTATAGCAGAGGAATACGAAAATGTCTAAATGACATTGTAAGGTCCTGGGCTGCTTGGTACTGCAGCGTAGACATCTCTCGGTTTATTGTGTTGAGATTGAGTAGGGTAATAATTACTTTTTCTGATGTGAAAAGTTTGTTCACAGTTGTCTGTCCTCTCACCATCATTTCTGCCTTCTCATCCATAAACTGATGCTTCTAATCAATTAACTCATGCATGGTAAAAGAGCAGGGTGAAAAGGAGGGGTCTGTGCTCCTATAATAATGTATTCTCTCCCTTCCCCCTGTGTTTTGTAGATAGTCTCAGCTGGTTTGTGAAAATCTTGCCAAGTGTTTGAGTTCCCTCTTTATTTTAGGAGGGCTGACAGTTTTGATTTTGGAGTTGGGGAGTTTTTGTGGAGTTTTTCTAAAACTGTCTCCTGCAATGTGACAGAATACTGTCACCTCTTTCAACAGACGTAACTTGTCACCTCTTTCAACAGTTTATTGGTCTTGCCCTTACCTGTCTTACAGACCCTTCCTGTTCCTTGTGCTGATCTTACTGAACACAAGTCATTCTCTTTCCCTGTCCTGAGCATCTCTTCCTGTGTACATCTGTGATGCTGTGTTTTAAATTCAAGCTTTTTTAGAGGAAGGAATGTCTACTGCAGTGGAGCCTTAATACACAACCAGGGCTCTGAGGATCTGCAGAAATACAAGTAATAATTAAAACACCAATTCTGATATTTTACAGCTTTCCAGAAGGCAAAAAATGAAGTGGCTGCAGTTAAAAAGCAATCTGATGGTGTTAGAAGAGAATATGATCATCTGATGAAGGAATATGAACGGCTTCAGGTAGGTGGCTCCAGATTGCTATACAAGCACTGTGTTTTGAAATTGTACCAGCAAAATTCTGCTTGTTTGGTATTTACTGTGCAAGAGAATTTACCAAAATTTTTAGTATAGTATTAGGTTACAATGGGCAGCAGTCCTTAAACTTCATCAAAATAGTGGAATTTAGTTTTACAAGAATGGCAAAGTTATTAGCATTTTTATTTTTTGCACTTTGGGTGGCAAAGCTCAGGTCAAAATTGTTAGATTCAATTTTATTGTCATTTGGGAAATAAAATTCAGATAGTTTTGCATGTGATGATCAAATTGAAATCTTGTAAGAAAATGATAGGAGTAGTAGTGGGGGGGAGTATATACATCATTTATAAAAATAATTTTATTGTGTTTGCTCTTTAAACATGTTTTTGCAATACTGGATTATAAATGCTGCAATACTGTTGATATGTAAGAATAGAAAACCAAAAAACACAGCAAACAGCCTAGGCTAAAAAAAAGGCTACTATAAAATTCAAGCTGAAGTACAAAATAATTAAAAAAAAAAAAAAAAAAAAACAAAAAAACAAACACATAACCAAAAGTTCAGTTAGCTGTTTGATTGAGTTTGCATATGTGCATGGTCATAATACCCATAATATACAGCCATGAAATATACAGTAATTATTAGGAGTCTTTCAGCTGTGTCTTTTGCAACCGGACTTGCCTTCCCCGTATTGGCCTTTTTAGCCACCAACGCGCTTGCAAGAATCGTGGGTAGAGCCCTTCCCAAATCTTCGTTCGCGAAGCCTAGCCATGATGATTTCTGATAGAACTGGGAGCCCTCTCTGTTATTTTAAGTTGTCTGACAGATGTTCATACGCTCCATGCCTAACATCTTGTCTCAACCAAAATTCAATAAAAATGAAAACTATCCTTTTTACAAGTAGTGATTTTGGGAGAAAGTAAGTGATTGATGTTAAAATTATGGTGATCTGCTTTTCAAGAAGAGCTGTTTGGTCCTGTATTAATAAACAAAAAAAGGCAAATTTGAGGTGGTTGTAATCTTTTCCTGCACTTTGTGAAACCACTTACTGATTCCCAGCCTCACCCTGTACTACAGAGATTGCTCAACTGATCTGTGTGTTCAAATCAAGACCACCATGCATGTCCTGTCCTTGTTGTGCTTCCCTGTGTAATGAGCCATAGTAGTCCTGCTGCATTTCTAACAGGCTTGTGGTCTAGAACACACATCCTCACCATTTTCTGTGTTTACCTCTGAATGGAAAGAACAGAAGGTACTGGGCACACAGAGGGTGCAGCACTCAGGGATGAAGCGGTTGGTAGCAGAAAATGCTTTCTGCTGAGTTTGCTGCACAGTTCAGTTGTAACATGAATGGGAAGCAGACCTAGGGTTGCACAGCCCTGACTATCCTGGGATCAGAGCACAAGTGTTGTGTGGGGTGGTATTGATGGGAACTTCGAAAGGTGTATGGTGAACAAATCAGGTGTGGCTGCAAGGGAGCAAAATGCAGCATCTGAAGTCAGTGGTTTCTGATCTTGGCCAAACTTAAATTATTTATCTGTCTCTTTTCAGCAAAGTTTAAATAAAGCAGAAGATAAGAAAGACCTGTAAGTGCAACTAAGACGAATGGCATCAGTACAGTTGCTTCAATGAGAAAAGCCTTGTGCTGTTTATGTTCCTGATGCATATCTGAAACAAAACTTGATTTTTCTGAAAAGCACATGCATTGCAGGTCATTATTCAGATTCCTCTAATATATCTTGGTTGCCAAAATGTTCTGTGTTGAAATAAAATGTTAGGTGGTGTACTGGATTTACCATGGAGTTTGTCACTGCTCTCCTGAGGAGAAATTCAAAAATCCACCTGAAGCAACTTGACTGTTTTCGAAGCTTTTGCCTCCCATAAGGGTAACAGATCATGCACCATTTGCTTGTAGCATTTGAGTGAGGTTGTATATCACACTATATCATAAAAACGCAATTATCTAAACCTCCTTTTCAACACCTGTTAGGAGTTTTAAAAATTCAGTTACTGCTGGGTTGAAGAAGGTTAAAAGCTTTTCATCAGCCATTCCACTTCAGTGGAAAATTGAATGACAATCAATCTAAGGAAAATAAAGAAAGGAAAACTGCATTTCTAAATCCATCTCACTAGCTTTTGACTTCCACTTAGCCACATGGATTTGAGTGTATTTTGACAAACAATATTTTGCATGCCTCTGGTTTATTTTTCTTTAATATTTGGGTTATTTCAGTTTTGGGTTGGCTGGTATTAGCAGTCTGTATTTTTACACTGTTTACATCTGTTTACTCTGTATGTACCACCTAACTTCTTTTGCCTTGCTAAGTAAAAAATCTTTTTAAATGTAGACAGTTTGGTTTGTTTTGTTTTGTTTTCATGGATACGATACCTCAAATAAATAAGCACTGTTTTGCATAAGACCTTTTTGGTATTCAGAAAGTTGTTTTGAGTTTCTTATTTGTTAGTTGGTCCCAGTTTATATTTGGAAGTTGGATATGTTTGTTATATTAAAGGGATTGTTTAAGTTCCTGAGTTTCTGGGTTTATTCTTATAAATCTCTCCCAGTATGCTATCTCATCATAGTTAACAGGTATGTTACTAGGAAAAAAATACACTTCTGGCTTGGTGATGTTAACTTTTCTTGAAAGCACAGTCTTCTTCATAGGGGTAGTTTTGATTGCTCTGGGAATAGAATTTGTTTAGCTTAGAATTTAAACACAGCTTATCAAGTAGTATAACGCTTAATAGCATATTAAATAAGAATGCAGACATTTAAAAAAAATATTTTATCTTTGCTGAAGTTGTACAGAATGTGTTTTCAGAGATTCTGTGCCACTGCAGATTTTTTTTATTAATATAAAAACTTTCAGGTAAAGTTACAGGTTTTCATACCTGCATACACATGTTTTGGTGATGTAGTTGAATGCATCTTTGGGTTTTTTCCCCACTCCTTTCTGAAATATTTAAAATTGTGGTGGAATGTTATCTCCAGTCAAATCCAAAGGCTATGGTTGGAAGCCTTGGAGGTATAACAGCAAGTGCTGGTTTTAATAACAGAATGAAAAAACTCACATCTGATTCTTACTTTAAGACACCAAACAAAAGCAAATATTACTTGCTTATTATTTATTGTTATCTATTCATTAAATTTCAAACATTTCCTCCTGTAATACCAGTAAATAATTGGGTAGAAAATTAGCAGCTTACTAAAAGATGTCATTCACTGCGCTCTTCATCCTTTATCTTAGAAAAATTAAAACGGAATGAAAAATGTGTAGCTGTGAGTGCACTGATATTACCAATACTTTTCCTTGAGGAGGAAGTCTGAATACTTTACACAGCTTTTTGGTGTAGGTCATGACTGAAGTGTGAAGAAGTGCAGGGTGGTACGCACTGCTCCCTCAGAAGCTGAAAAGAGGCTGGGTGTTTTTAGATGTGCAGCAGCCATTCAGCACATGGTACTTGCACCCTGCCCTCTAATACATCAGTCACCTCAGCCTCACAGTTTCCTTCTGGCTACTTGGCAGACATGAATCCACTTATTGAGGAGACAACAGCTTAACACAAAAAATGTTGCATATCAGGCCACAGGGAATGTTCCCTTAATTAGAGATTGCTTAAAACACACAGACTTTCTAGTTTGGCTTCAGTCATTTCTTCTGTCGTGTTCCATAACTTGTATCACTTTTCTCATTTCCCTGTCACAGAGCAACGTATGACCATCATAATTTTTGTACTTGGTCTGTTGTGGATGGTCACACACATTTGAGTTGCATTATCACATGCTCAGCTCTTTAGAGTCCCAGATTTGTTCACAGATTTAAATTGTTTTGTAATATCTGCTATGTAGAACTCTATTTTTGGAAAGAACAAAGTTTCTTTTGTAAAAGTAGAAGTATAAATAGCATGTCTGTAAATCCTAGTACGTGGCAAATCCTTGAGCATATTTTTCATTTGCATTGTTTCGCATCACTTTATTTACTTTCCGGGCTGTGGGAGTTTGGGTTGATCAACTCTAAGTACAGTTCTCTGACTGGTCATGTTTTAAGTTATGGTTGATACACAGGGAGAGAATTAATCAAATTGTCATGCTTTTAACTCCTGATCTTTCAGGCTGTTGGGTCAGATTTTGGTCACTATGTCTGTTGTGTAGGAAAGAGCTGAAAAAAAGCTAAATCTCCACTGATGGAATCAAAATTACTTTTGTACTCATGTTGGACAGTTGATTTATTCCGGGTATGTCTCCAGAAGTAAGAATTTAGAGCTCTTTAAATAATGTCATAGTAATTGTCTAGTTGTTTTGCAGCCTTTTTTCTCCTCTTTAAAAAGGCAGGAATGTGCATTTTCCATACTTTGGTGGGGAAGCATAGGAGGAGAGAGTATTGTAAATATATTTGCACAGGTTTACCTGATAGTAGCTTTCAAAAAATTGAGGGGTGGGGAATCCACCTTTTTCTATCCATCTTTTTTCATAAACCCCTTTTTCTGCTGAGTCAAGAAAGCAGTGAGGTCATGGTGGGTGCATGAGAACTGACCTGAATATTAATAGACCTAACTGCATGCCTTGGTGTGTCCTTAAATAAAAGCACCTGTAGCTAGGCAGGGTTTTTTCCCCCCTTCTTCTATTTTTGCAACAAACATCTGATAATATATCTTCTTTAATAACATAAGTTGTGCCTAGTCTTTTCTGAAAATGTACCCTTGCATTAACACTCCCTGTGTTAGCTGCCACAGTAGTCCCTGGCTACGTAGCCTCATTGAAAAGACACTGTGCTTTCCTAGCTTTTTGTAAAGGGTGAAAGCTCAGCTTTTCTCTCTGCATTGAAATAACATTTCTTTTTCCAAATGTGAAGTTACTGTAGAAGTATTACGCCTGCGTCAATTCTTGAGTGTTCCTTGAAATTCTGAATTTACTCTTTGGGACAGAAACCCTCATTTTGCCTTGCCTTTGGACAGTGCTTGTTCTGCTGGCAGCTGGGTCCTGATGCAACCTGATACAAGTAATTTTACAGATCAGTTGGAAAATCAGCTCTCAGTTTTGTCATTCCAGTCCTCCAGTACTCTGTGCTGACTGTTGCTGTGTGCATTAATTGTGGAACGTCTGAAAACATAGTTCTGGAACTGAGCCTTCACAGTTCAGAAATAATGTGGAATATTTCACTTCCTATGATAAAATGTAATACTTGTGTTTTGCTCATGAGGTAATGTGCAACTAGGGACAGGCATTGCAAGATGTATTAGTGAGGTTGTATTCCCTCTAATTTTGTGTCCACTCTAAAATATTATTGTGGTCCAAAGGAAATTTCTATTACTACCTACCTGCAAGGGCAAGTCTACCCTAAAATTATATAGCTATTCCATCTCCAGCTTTGGGAGTGCTGGATGGAGCAGGGAGCAGGCTATACAGTCTAGTATTGCATAAGCTAAAGGATTCCCTGCTGGACTGTAGTCTGCATGAACCATTTCTGGGATGTTCAGATTCCCAAACACACGTGGGTGCCCCAGGGTTTAGCGAGGAGGAACTTCCCCCTTACGTATAGTGGCTAGGGGGAGTTAAGATACTAGCACTAGTGTGTCTATTGGAAGTGAGGAGATAACAAACCCAGCTACTAGGGAGAATGAAAATGGGAAGCATCTTTCAAAACTCACTTTGGAAATTGGACACCAATTACTGTTGTGATAAAAGCATGTCTGTAAGACCCTCAGCTTAAATAGTTGTAACTTAAACCCTTCATCCTGCTGCCCGAGATCAGACTGTCACTGTAGTCTGATTGGGTTTGCTCTTCTCTTTGAAAATACAGACAGAAGAGGCATTAGCTTTGCTGATAATTGTGTTTTGTGAGATACTGTAACTCACCTCAGTGGTGAGACCATACTCTACATTTTACTTAGCTTAAGGTTTAAATCCATATTCCTGTAACTATGGAAGAAGAAACAAGAAACAAAATCAGCTGGGAAGGTGCTAAACTACTCCTTTCCTTTTAAATTTAAGACATGGTACAGAAAAGAGACAATGTGAGAGGAAGGAAGAGAGGAACTGTTATTCTTGGCCAATAAGGACAAAATCTTAGGCTTTGATTCTTCTCCAGGCATGACTTAGGCATTAGAAGTAAGGTCTTGAGAAGAGAGCATACTGTGAAGCAGGGGACTTGGAAACAGGCTGTGTATCTATCCCAGGTTGTTCATCTCATACCAAGTACAAAAAGAGCATGAACTAATTAGAAAATAGTAGCAAAGTAAACAAAAGGATTCAGAAGACTGGCGCAGATTTCAAGCTATCAAAAAGGAAAACAAAAACCAAAAAAACCCCAACCAAACAGAAAAGCTAAAGTTGAAAAATAAAGGAAGAGCATTCTAGCGTTAATGTTCCAGAGGAAGGGGACGCATCCTGAATGGGATCAGCAACATCACAGTTTAAAAACACATTGCGTCTTATTTGACACAGATTGGTCTCTGTGTACGGGATCCATTCTGAGCTAGGGTTTGCATTCTTAAGCCTCTTCCTCAAACAATTGTCTTTTCAAATTCTGGTAAATGCATTGTGTTACACAGAGGGAGATTTTTTTTCTTGAACCCTCTTGTCCTCGAGTTTGTATCCTTCTGTCCTGCCAATATGCATGGTCATACAGAGTTCTCATCTGTACATCACCTGCAGATGCTCCTACAGCATCTCATCACCTGAGGTGCTGAAGTTTGGGATTCTGTTCAGGCAGACACATGCTCCAGGAAACAAATTTGCAAGGAGTGTGAGTTAGTCAATTCAGATTCTTCTGACTGTAGTCTTCTTGTGTTTATTTCTACAAAATGTTGGCACTCATTTTGGGAAGCTGGGTGCTTCACTGCGAGGTACAACACTGCTCAGATTAAAACAGTTCAGCAGTTTACCCAGACGTTCCTTACAATGCAGCAGAAGGAAAGCCAGTTGCAGAATTAGAAAACTGTTTTAACACTACAAAGCATACTTTCAGCAAATAGCTTCTTTACAATTTAGTAATGTTGGCTTCAACATGTCTGAAGTTAGGACTATACTAAACTGCTTTGAAACCAAGGCTGTGAAGAATATCCGCGCCTGAGTAGTTTGTTGAAGAAATACTTTGCTTGATGCAGTACCCTCAGTGTGTGCCCTCGACACCTCCTTGGTGTTAGCTGAAACACTGACACTAATTCTGATTTCAAGAGGTGTCCCGGGTGAGTAGGACACACACGTACTTTGCTTCACTCCTACAAGATCTTTGCTAGGTTGTCTTCCACAGGTAGCATGGAAGAGCTACAATGTAGCCAGCAGTATTCGGCATGCAGGACTGACTTTTTCAGCCCCAGTTCTATCTCCAAGCCTAAATTACAGCAGAGCTGCCAAGGAGTTCATTCCCTACGACCATTCCCTCCCCGCCCGCCCCTTGGGCAAACAAGAAGCTGCAGCCCCGGACCAGCTTCTGTCGTTTCAGATGTGACACAAAGAGCCTGCAGGCTTCAAACCACTTTTCCTTCCCACCGGGGCGGCTGGGTGAGCTCCGAGGTGGTTTGGAGAGCAG